TTACAAGTTATTCTATTATAAAATTCAGAAAGCATCTGAATAGTTGAGAAGAGTATGACCCTAAGGTGTTGGTATTATGTTCATTTTCAGAACATAAAATCCATTAAAAAAATTGATTTTCAAAATTCAATTTCTCTAATAAAATAAAAATCTAGAAATCATTATAACAGAAAAGAACAGAGTATAATGATTTCATTTTAGCATTATATCTGATTTTTAAAACATTTATTAAATTATCAAAAAAACAAAAAACTGAGTTTTGACATGCACAAGATCATTTATCAAAAACTAACAGTGCTCAAATACTGCATTTCATTATATATAATGAAAAAATATGTCAATCTAAAATTAGTTTAAGAAATAATGGCATCCAGTAAAATATACTGTCTATTTCTGGGACTTGGACAAGTTTTAATTTGTGGATTGAGTTTTAGATGAGAAGATGGAACTTTAAATTTTATTCAATATTGAATAATGCTCATTCCATTTTTTGGGGGGCGGGGGGGAGATTTGATAGAGGAAACAAAACAAAGAGGAGGGGGTGAGTGCAAAAGAGAGAAAGAGGTACAAAGAATGGAAATGAACTGTGACTTTTAAAAATGTTTTATACAAATGATTTCAAGTAGCCAAATAAAGAATGTGAAAAATGCATGGCATATATTTTAATCTCTTTAAAGATTTTACAATAAAATCCGCTATATATAAAATAAAAACACTTGAGATTCTTGCAAAATTACTTTAAATTTGTAGAAAATAACAGAAATACAGAGTTTCCTATTAAAGAAGAATTTCCTTCACCAGTATTATTATTTTGTATCCTCTTTCTCTTAATATACAATGATCACATGCAACACTGCACAAGCAAAAATGTAAAGACCCAATTACAAAACTATCAAGATAAAATCCAAACTCATTTGTCACTTATTAACAAGCAACTGCTCAGTCATTAATTAATTTCTAAGATTAAGAAAAAAAAAATTATGTTAAGAAAATGAATATGCATTTAAAAATGCTATATATACACAACAAAGAACATGTGACCAGCATAACAGTAGCTGGCAGATAAAATAGAACTGGCAAGTCAAGTTCAAATTTCAGTCTAGTCTGTTGCACTAATGCCTTTGGAAAATGTAAGAATCCAACTCTTTTCCCATACAGCTATGGATTAAATGGAAGAGTAAAATGGGCAGCCATTTCTAGCAGAATGATTACCCTGAATTCAAAACTGAAGAAGACAAGAAACTACTCTGCTATTTTTCCCCAAAGTAGAAATGGCAATTCAAAAAAAATATATTCTTATATATATATATATATATATATATATATATATATGTTTTACATTTTCTGGCCTTAATATTCAAATCTTCTCAGAAAATATGCGTCCTCTGGCAGAATTCAAACCCACATCCCTTAAGGGAAACCACCATTAGATCTGATGTGCTTAACCAATTCAGCCACATATGACTTCCAGTTAAACAAAGCCCAAAATAGTGCTTTTGAATTCATTCTCTGCTGATTCTTAAAACATCCATATCTGCTCTGTCTTGTAACCTAATGTAAACAAAGACATTTTTATATTTATAGTATGGATTAAATCCTACATTTTATTTATATATATATAAATATATATATATACCACCACTTTTCTGCTAAAAAAGAGATTACCATGATGAAAAAAGGCCCCCAATTTTGTTAAATTTTTTAATCTTTTCTAACAAATTCAAAATTTTGGTTAAAAATCTTTGGGGTTTTTTTTTTTTTTTTTTTATTTAAAACCAGTCGTGGGACAAAGATTACTATGGGTATTTTAGCACCTTTTTTTGGGTAAAAACACATTTAGAAATTCTTGCAAAAATTAAATAATTGTTGAATTTTAATGAAACTTTCAGGACTTATTTACAAATGAATGAATTTATTTATTTATTTTTTTTTACATGTTACCCCACCACTTAATTTTATGAAATTTTGAGAAATTAAATTTTCATCATAAAATGTTTTATTAGCTAAAAGCAGAACTCCTTGAAGAATGTAAATATTTCAATTTTTTTTTAAACAGTTACATATTTCCCAAAAATCTGCTCTGAATCTTAAAAATAAATAATGTCATAGTTTTATTGTGATCTTTATTTTTAAGATTCATAAAATAAAATATACTTCTTTGAAACTTTATTTGACAAATATTAGTTGATTTAAAGTATAATTAATCTGATTTGAAACAAATATTATTTAAGTTTAAAATAACACATTTTTAAACCAAACAGTAGCTGTGTTTTTTTAACTGACAATATAAAATGTTTTACATTTAATTAGAAAAGTTTTATTGCTTTTACAAGATATATTTAAGGAAAATAATTTGGGACTTTTTATGAATAATGAATTTTACAAGAATTGTTTTCACCCTTTAAAAAAATTTAATAATTTATAAAGTTTAAAAATTTTAAAAACAATTTTACTTTAACATTGCATCTAGATGAAGTAATGCAGTGATTTAAAAAAAATTTTAAACTTACTAAGTTATTAAAATTTTATAAAAAGGATGCTCAATTCTTTTAAAATTTCATTATTCATAAAAAAACAAATTAGAACAAAATAAACTATCTTATTTTGTCAAGTATGTAAAATTTTACTTAAAGATCAAAAAAAAAACACAGCTACTGTTTAATTTAAAATGTTTTTTTTAAACTTAAATAATATTTGTTTAAGTCAGATTAATTATACTTTAAATCAACTAATATTTGTCAAATAAAGTTTCAAAAAAGTATATTTTATTTTTGGAAGATTTTTTTTTTAAAGAGAATTACATTACGATGAAAGATGACTAAAGAAGGGGGATAATCAGTTATTTTAGCAAAGAGATGAAAATCAATTCCAATCAATATAATTTTCTTTGAAATACACCAGAGTATTTTGCTCACTGGAAATAGTAAATTTAATCCTTTAGCTCTCAGTAAAAGCTAAAATGAAAGCTCCAAAAAAACTTTCATGTTTAAAAATTCATTTTAAACCTTAGGCATTGCAAATTAATTGTGGTTCCTATATATAATATATATAATATATATAATATATATATAATATATATATATATATATATATATATTATAATATATATATATATATATAATATATATATAATATAAATTATATATATATATAATATAATATATATATATATAATATAAATTATATATATTATAATATATAATATATATATAATATAATATATATATATATATATATATAAATTATATATATATATATATATATATATATATATATATATAATATATATTATATATATATATATATATATATATATATATATATATATATATATATAATATAAATTATATATATATATATATATATATATATATATATATATATATATATATATATATATATATATATATATATATATATATATATATATATATATATATATATATATATATATATATATATATATATATATATATATATATATATATATATATATAATAATATATATATATATATATATATATATATATATATATATATATATATATATAATATATATATAATATATATATATATATATATATATATATATATATATATATATATATATAAAAATTATATAGAAAGCCATGATAATCTATGTCCTACAGGAGAATGGCAAAAAAAAAAATTTTTTTAAATTGAATTTTATTTTTTATTTATATTTGAAATAAGGGATTTTATTTTTTATTTTTATATATTGTTTAGAGATAATTTTTGTAAAAATTTTTTCTTTTTGTTCCAAAAAGGCAAAACTGAAAAAAATAGATTGTAAAGTATTATATTACTAAGAAAAGCAAGTTCAAAGGTGGTTGTATTACAAAATGGTTATATTCTTAGGAATTATTCCACAAGTTACTCAGATAAATGTTCTCATCCTTACTGTTTTTATCAATGTTTCAGCAGGGTGTTTTTTTTTAAATTTTAAATCTGCAAGTATAAAATCTATTCAGTCATTAATTTCCCCTCTCAATAGACATTTTTACATTCTGGCACAACTGCAGTGTAGTAGTAGTAGTAGTAGTTTAAAAAAATAACAGCTCCAAATACTATGTAAATCAACTTTTATGCTCAATATATATTCAATTAAGGAAATTTCTCACAGCTGTTTTTGCATTACTGAGTATAGATACTTAAATAGAATTGAATTTTATATTGAGTTTGCTGATGAATTCTTGTCTGGTTCATATCTAAATTTGATATTTTTTTTTTACCTCTCCCTTCAAGAAGATAATATATTTAGAGTTTCCAAACATGTTCACTCATAAAAAGTTGTGAACTTTGTAAAGAAGTTGCAGAGTATAGTTTTTCTATAGAAAACAATTTTGTTATATGGATGACATCTTTCTTTTTTTTTTTTTTTTTTTCAATCATTTCTCATATATATGGTATACTCATTGTAACATTGTATTTGATGTTGTCCAATTTTATTCTCTTTTGAGTCAATAGCTAATTATTCCAAAGTATGCCAATTCATGCAGCAGGGTGTCAGGGTCACTACACACACACACACACACACTACACTCACTGATAGCAAAAAGTGGAAACAAGTAATTGGGCCACAGAGCATTAGCAAAAGAACAGCAATATCTGCTTTCTTTTGAGGATGTGTTGAGTACAACCTGATGGTCACCAACATCCTGTTCATGCAGACAAATACAAAGCAGTGGCAATTGATAGACTTTGCCATTGTCTGAAAGCACAATATTTGGGATGCACTCATCACCAGATCAGCATGGGCACAGAGTCCTGGACTAACCACAGGTTAATAAGGAAGGCCCTTCTTTATACATTGTTCCACAACAGCACAACCAACCAAAGCTTGTTCAACTTGCTTTCAACATAGCCAGACTGAATCATGCTCAGTGCCAGAACAAGTTTGAAGCTGATCTTGATAACAAGTTGATGTCTCACACAGATCATAGTACAACAGAATAGTGGTACCAGTTTAACATTCAAACCAAAGAAAAGATAGCAATAAGACTGTTTGGATGAAAACCAAGAAGAAATAGTGTAGCTCTGGAAGAAAAGAGTGGTAGAACATTCACTCTTTCATAGTTTTACTAATGCTTTCAATTTGTTGAGTCTGATTATCAGTCTTAAAACCAATAGTCTTCACCAACACATGCTTAGATACAATATACATAACCCCATATATTTAACAATAACTGTTAGCTCAAAGTGGGCAGCAGTATATCCAGTGATGCGTCCTTGAACAAGGAGTTTTAAGCAATCACCGGATCAGCTCTCAATGAAGTTGTTTGTGTACAAAGCAGTTCTCTCTTCTATCCTAAATGAAAAAAGAACTTGGACACTGTACAGATGGTACACCAAGCAGCTGTTAGAATTTCCCATGAATGGCCTTTGTTCTATATTGAGAACCCATTGGCAAGATAGTGTCAATCTTTCAGGCCCTTGAGATGGCATAACTGGTTGTTTTTTTTTTTATGGTTTATCAACACTTTATGCTTTATTTAAAGCTGAAACATATTTTGGATTGTACAAATAATTATTGCATTAACAATTTTTTGGAGATAGCTAATTTTCCCCAGATACAAATCCTTCTATTTAACCCATATCTGGAGGGAGAAAAGATGGATTCATACCTTTCCCAAGGACATTAGCATGTAGTGTAACTGGATATAACAAAATCAACTATTTCTCATACCGAGCCACTATCCTTTACACAACCTACACATCCAGTGATGAGGCTGAAATCCCAGTTACAGTGCCATGGATGAATCAAAAATCCTTTGACAGCTTCTCTACAAGCTATTGCACAACCATCAACAACCAGCACATTCATGCATATGCTACAAGGATGTCATCAAGGGTAACCTGCAGTTCAGTAGCATCTTCCCAAAGCACCTAGAAGCAGCCAACACAAGACAGTGCACAGTCAGTAGGAAGAACGATAGGACCTTCAGGACGAGCCGCTGTCAACATCTGCAGGAAGCACAAGAGAAATACAACACAGTAGCATCTACATCAGCATGGTTTCAATGTTCCACATCTGTACAAACATATGTGCTTCCAGGATTGGTTTGAATAGCCACCTGAAGATTCACAAGAGGAACCCAAATCATCACCATTAGAATCAACAGACTACTAAAAATATATATATATATATATATATGTGTATGTATATTGAGCCTGATTTCTATTTTCAGACAAACTACTGGGTTCCCACTGACTGCAGAAACCTTTAACAGTCAGATCTAGAACCATCAACAAAAGAAAAATATTCTTGCCTGATGAATTATACAGTTGGAGTATGTCAAAAGTCACACAATCCTAAATATAGAAATAAAAACAGCAAGGATAAGAATACACATTGAAGTAACTTTTAGAATAAATGTCAAGTTATCTCTGACTTCCAAAGAATATTTTAGAAGTAATAAACAAATAATTACAGATATTAGTAATGTTAATTATGGATAATAGACAAAAAAAAGTTTTATTGTGTAAAAGTTTTTCTATATATAAGTTAGAGTTCTAGATTCAGATGTTAACTATAAACTATTGATTCAGGAATCTTAAGTTTTGTTTCCTACAATATATAAAAACTTGACAATGCCAGGCAAAGATCTTTTGGGTTATGGCAACATGTAAAGCATGAAAAGGCCTCTCAGAATGAATGAAGATACTTATCTATACATGAAGAATAAGCAAGTTATGCATTAGATTAAAGTATTCTCAACAGTAAAAAGCATTTGCATGCATCCAGGTGTGAGTAAAGCACAATTTGAAATTGATTTGTGTAGTAGGCAGTAAAGTGAACAAATGTTAAAAATAAGTTTTGGCTCATCTTGTATATCTTTAATTTAGACAAATTAATTTAATCCCAAAAACATTTTAAAATTTCAAATAAATTCTTAAATAAAGTTTGAATTTTTCATTTATTGTTTGCATATGAGAAAGAATAAATGACAATATTTTAAAATTTCATTAGATGTGGGTCTCTTTCATTTGTAGGGAATCATATTTGGGTGGAAGACTTTCTTCTGCTCCAACAGAAATAAGTGTGCCATCTTTATTTGAATGTTGAACAGTTTGCCAAGATAATTCTTGAACTAATTGTTCGGTAACACTGGCATGCTTGACCTTAATGGATTCTTGTATATTTTGGGTTTCTTTTTCATCAACAAGTTCATCAGTTGTTAAATTTGGATATTGTTCCAGTGAAGAACTCTGATCTTCAATCGAATCTGGTATACATAATGGTTTCTTTGCTTCTGATTTTGGGTTTTCATTGGGTGACACCAAATTCAGATGAGATGGCTCTGTTGATGTAGCTTCAATGGCTGATAATGAAAGCTGCTTAAGCCTTACTGACATCACCTCTGCTAATTGCAACGGACGCTGTGTTTTAATCAGAAGAGATTCTACTGCTAACTCCTCTTTTACTGGTTGTACAGACTGTTCTTTAACTACTACAGTATCTGAAGGTAACATTGCAGATTCTGGTGAAATGGAACTTGCCTCCATTTGCAAAGTGGACGAGAGATTTTGGGGTTTAACTGTGACAATCTCTGTTGATAATGGCTGAGAGGATTGTATTTGCTGGCTGTTAGCCAAACTGTGTTTTGGTTTCACTTTCTTGGGATGCAATACTTGCTGTGATTTAACAATTAATGGTTCTGAAATGATTTGTTGATGTTGATGTGCTACTCTTGCTGTTTCAATTTCATTGTCAGCTGTTGAGCTGTTATTAGGCTCCAGTACTATGTGCATATTAACTAGGTTACTAGCAGCTTCATCTGGCTGCTTTGTAGGAATTGATTGCTCAATGGGTGGGTGCTGCTGTAGTTGCATTTCATCGAAAACATGTTCCATTGCCATTGGTGATACTTGTTGAACAACGTTAGAAATAGTCTCTGCTTCCAGATCTTTCTTTGGTTGTATCTGATCATCAAAATACTCCATTTGATGTCTTACATCATTTTTATCATTTGAAATCTCATCTGTAAAAGACTGTTGAATCTGTTGACATTCCACTGTATCAGATTCCGTTGACAACGAATTCACAAACAAAGGTTTCAGTTCAGGAACTTCTCCACTGGATGATACACCTTCAGATGCATCTGATGATTGTGATTCATTTGGTCCAGTTGTTGTTAGGTTAGGACATTCTGTTTTGATGGGATCGTGTACAGCTTTCCAGATTAAGTGTCTGGAAGGACTAGGACTATGTGATTTGGATTTGCACATATCTGATGTTTGCATTTCAACTGGCAGGGTTACTTCTGATGGTATAGAATCTGAATGGGTTCTCTGAATGTCAGCTTTAAACTGACCAGTCAGCTGATTATCTGGATAAGAGTGCTTATTTTCAGCTTCCTCAATTAATTGCTGACAAGAACCAGGGCTTTGTGATTTTGTCTGTATTTGTGATGTTGGATAAGTCAACAACTGCCCTGGTTCCAAGTTGGCAGCTAAATTTATTGAGTGGATCTCGTCCTTTTCATCCTTCTGGTGACACGAAGACATTTGTTGGTCAACCATTACTGTATAAGTGTTACCAAAATGCTGTTGAGGTTTTTCTTTTGGAAGTGACTGCTGTAGTTGATTTCCATCTGGTGACTGTGTCTTTGATTCTTCTGAAGATGGTGAGAATTCTAACAAGGGTCTTTTAGTTGTAACATGTACATCTGAAGAAATGTGCTGGAGTTTAGCCTCTGAAGATGCCCTTTCCTTAGTAACTGATAAAGACGGGACATCACTTAAAGATGTCTGTGTCACTGGCTGTAATGACTGTGATTGTTGCAATCTGGCCTCTGAAGATGACTTAGTAACTTCTACAGACAACGGTGCATCTGGTACTACTGGCTGCAGTGTTTGTTGACTCTTGGCTGTAAATGCTTCTTCTGCTAATATCTTTGCCATTTTCATCTCCTGCATCTTAGATTCTGTAGTTACTGTTGGTTTTTTGAAACTTTCAGACTCACTTTCAGAAACTGGAAATTTTGGCTGAAGAATTTGTTCACTTTCCACTCCTTTTGCAACTGTTGTCATCAATGTATTTTCTATGTGGGTGTCTTTCATCAAGAGTTTATTTTGGAACTTCCAAAATGTTAAATGTGAGTTGCCATCAGGCTTTTTATCTTTCTGCCCGTTTTCTAACAGTTTTTCTTTCTTTTTCTTTTTTGAGCCATGTTTTTCTGTCTTTGCTAAATAGAAATAAAAAAATATATAATAAATAATAGCTGATTGTTGGAGGTTGCAGTGATATTCAGTATTTCTTTATAATTCCCATTAATTACATGATTAAATGCTACTTTAGTTCAAAACCTATTTGCATGTTAATATATCAGGTATGTACAAAAATTCAGTGAAAACTGAACTACCATAAAAAATCATATTGCAATAAATTTAAATTGTGTTCTTGAAAACATCTTTGTTTATTTTTCTGGTTTTTCCAATTTTAATAAGGATTGAGCAAATTTAAAAATTACATTTTAATATCTTTATGCATTTTTTGGCATGAAATTAGTTAAATTTGGGCAGTTATTACAAAATGTGCTTTTATACATTAGGAATTTAAAGAACATTTTATGTAGAGAATTTTAAAATTGCAAAATTTTGTTTTCTTATTAATTTTACAAATAAAGCAAAGAAATTTTATATATATCCTATAAGATAGCAATAAAAAGTGAATTACAATTATTAAGGAGATAAGAGAAAATAAGGTTTTTGTTAAACTTAAATTGTTTTATTACAAGTTTCTTTGCAGAGTATTAGCAGTGACTACAGAAAAACAATTTTTATTTTGAGTTTGGCTGCACATAGCCAATAACAATATTACTCTTACTATAACTGGATTGCATAAGTATTGTAATTTAATCATTATAACCTACCATACAACTGTTTTCCTATGACTAGCAATCTTATTACCAAAAAAAATATTGTATTAAGTATCTGTGATCCATAAATCATATACCATAGAAAAATTGAATTATAATTAGGTAGGTAAAGTGAAACTCAAAGGAAATGAATCTTAATATATAACCACTTGTTTCAACAGACTTTAAACAATTTTTTCAAGTTATGGCTTACACAATAAGGAAAGAAAAGTAAACTCACTGCGGCCATAGGCTTATACCATAATGACCTGATAATGAAATTAAGTTTCTATGAATGGACAGTAAAATGAACCAACTAATTTATGATCAAATTTTCAAATAACTGCAAATTTCTGCCAGAAATATATCAACCTTACAGTTGATTGTGTGTATGTGTGCGAGTGAGAGAGATTAAAATGTAAAAATACCACACTGGTGGTAGTAGAATATCTTTTTTTTTTAATATTTAAGAATAATGGCATCCTCAACACTCCAATCTGATATAGCTCAGTAAGATAATTATTTTAAAATTATTCCTTCATCCATCTTCCTCAAAATTATGTAATTTTCAACAAGGAAGTCATTCTTTAATATATTTAAAATATTTTTGGTTAATGTCGTAACTACACATGAAGTTAACATAAAAGATTAAGCTTAAAGAAAACAGGGCAAAGTAACAAGAACAAAAGAAAGCAGTACAGTGAAGCTACAGTGTCATGAAATGAACAGAAAATGTACATGAACATAAAATTTGTCAAAAAGCAAAATTGATTCAAAGATCATAAATTATAGAAATTTAAATAGAATTATAGGAAAAGGCTAAGAAAAATCATCAACAACATACAAAAAAAGATAAAATGAAACAAAATGCTTTGGAAATGTTAATCAAAAGAAGAGATAGAACTGTAAATAGAAGCTGATGATAATAAAAACAGAAAAATACATTTGCTGAAAAGAGAACGTTATACTGCATTAAATCAACACAAGATGAATAAGAAAGTACAATTTACAATTTGGGATCAATCTGTGAACCCATATTTTTTGTACCAAAAATTCTCTACTAAAATGAAACCTCATATTTACCTATCATTAAATTTGAATTATGTTTGTAAGTCTTGAATTATTTAATCTTGATATATATGTATAGATTAATACCTCATGAAATCGCTAAAAAAAACAAAAAAAAAAACAACAGCATACCACGAGGAAAATGTGCTCCAAATATAATGAAAACAGTTTTATTGTCAAAATCTTTGTTATTATTAAGAAGAAAGATCAAAGTATTTTCTGAATATTTAATTAAATTTTTTACTCTTTTTTAGAACTTTTGAAATTTTGATTAAAATTTGTTTTTCTTGCGTCAGCGGATGTACTATATTTATAGCAAATTTTAGTGTTTTTTTTTTATGGTAACAGGCGCATTCATTTGTAAATTCTTGCAAAAAATCAAATAATTGTCAGATTTTAATGAAATTTTCAAGACTTATTCAAATGAAATTATTTTAGAAATGTCTTTTATTAGAAATTCTTTATAAAAATATATAAATATTTTAACGTTTCACCCCCCCCCCCCTTAATTTTATGAATACTTGAGAAATTTAACATGATAATTATTAGTGACTATATTAGTTAAAAGCAGAATTCTTTGCACAATTTAAATCAAAGATTTTTTTTTTGCAAAAATCGGACCGAAAATCTGCTCGGAATCAAAAAGTAAAAAAATACAAAACTAAAAAATTATTTAATTAGAGAAGCTTTTAATTACTTTTATGAATAATATATATTAAGGACAATAATGTTTTAAGATAAAAATTTTTTCAATGAAAAATGAATTTTTACAAGATTTTTCATTTTCTTTTTTAAATTTTTATTAGAATAATTTGTAATATTTTAAAACCTTTTAAAATTCAGTTTCAATGGTGTAACTCTTAAGAAAGATTGGTATTAAGTGAAACTATACTTACTAATCATATATCATAAAGCTTATTACAATCCAACACCCCCAAACATTAATAAAAGAATTTTGAATGGTTTTTGTATCTGTAAAAATGTGCTGAATTTTATAAATACAGTTGCCCATACATAACACTATCAGAAAATAAGAGTGACAATTATAGTAAATTTGAAGCCAAAATTCTCTAAAATTCAATAAAACAATATGTAGAATATTTACTTAAATTTTTAAGATTACCGAGTACTTGAATACGTTATATTCTTCAATTATATTTTTTTAAGTTTTTAACACTAGTAAAACATTAGATAACAATATATCCATCATCAAGCTGTCACAGAGGTGTTAAAATGCTGTCAAATAATTTACTGTTAAGTTGAAAAATGCATTTCTGTGATATTTTAAACTTAAAACGGTTGTTTCAAATCAGATTAATTATACTTTAAATAAGCTAATATTCTTCAAATAAAGTTTCAGAAAAGTATATTTTATTCTTGGAAGATTTTTTTAATAAAGAGATTTACGTTTTTATAATACTGTTGAAAGCGGCACTAAATTCAAAAATTTAAAAAAAAAAAAATTCCTTCCAATCAATTTAAACTAATTTTGAAATACAAAGTATTTTATTTATTAGAAATATTAAGTTTAATCTCTCAGCTTGAAATTAAAGTAAAATAAAAGCTTCAAGAAAGATTTTTCATTATTAATAATCCATTTTAAATGTTTGTAGACATACCTAGTATAGATTAAGTTTTTAAAAATGAGAAATCAAACATCAGGTTTCAGTCTAATATTCACTTTCACAATCAGAAACTTATATTTCATAGTGAATTATGAATTTCACATTGCCAGTAACTAAAATATTTTGAATCAAATGGTTAAATGAGTACTTCTGAATTAAATTGTCTGGATAGTGTTACACAATAATTCAGAGCTTCAATATTATTTACAAATATATGAAAATCAAAAAGGTGCACATCATTCAAAATTTTCAAAATATAATCTCATGCCCAGAAAATTATTCAACAAATTAGTTAGCTTAGTATTTGGTGACCAAGAAAATTTGTTGAATGTATCAAATAAAGTTTTTCTTTTTAATTTTTAACATTACTGAAGAACATTTACCATTTTTTTCTATATTTAATCATCTTTCAGTAACTTCATATTGTCATCCTAGCAGAAGATTTTATTTTCCTCAACATTGAATTTTGCCTTAAATGACTTTGGGAGTCTTTCATGGGATCGAATTTTTTTTTGTAATTAAGAGAATTCTGTAAGAACTGAATGAAATAGTATTCTGAAGGCACAAAATCTTGTGAATTCTGGCAAATGAATGGAAAAAACTACCCTTTTTTTGGCCTAGTCACCATAAAATATGCAGTCATGTTTTCTTGATAAAATATCTGCTTCTCTCTGCCACTAAGAGAATTTTATTTCATTGTGGCCATCAATTTGGGTTGAGAGTAATACTTGTTTGAGTAAATTGTTCAGTTTTTCAGAAGGAACTAATTTTTTATATGCTGCATCAACACATATGATTAAAACTAGCCTTTTGCTATGGTGATTTTCTAAGCGCAGCTTAGATGTGGCACAAGGCTGAATGTATGGGGTACCCAGTGTGGATCAAACTCACTACTCAGTCATAATTGTTCTAGTGAGACAAGCTTGCTAACCATTACACCATGTCGAGGTGCCCAACTAGCCTTTTGACATGGTTAGTGGTTTTGTTCATTTCATTTGTTCCATGATATTTTGTTGTCAATCATCCACTTTTCATTTCCTACCATAAAGTTTGTTTTCTTTTTCACTTATGTAAAAGCCACATATAAACAAAATCTGATGCAAATGATTTTCACTACTTCATTTGGATATGTTGGCTATCAAGGCATCATATAATATTGATTATTCTCAAGTATTATTGCTATCAACTGCAACTGGCCTGCATGGCTATCAGTAAGAAATCTCCAGCCACTGCAAGCCACTTTTGATAACATTTAATCATTCACCATAAACTTTACATATATTTTATGTTTTTTGTTCTGACAAAATCACATTTTTCCTGTCCTAAAAATAAAAAAGCAGAATATGACAAAAACATTGCCTATTTTCTTCAATTAATAAGATGCCAATTTTAATAAATGCATGTTGATATGACAGCTGTCACAAAACAATATTTTTAAAATAAAATTAGTTAAAAGTAAACGCGCCTAATGTTATTTGATGAGAAAAAAGAAACATGGCCAACCCAATAAATGTACATACATAAGGCACCAAATGCAGTTCACTTGTAAAATGTATGCAAATTTTAATAAGTTAACACTTGTTTCATAACTTTTGAAACACTGCTAGTGTGTGCATCATTTATCTATTAAAAGAGGTTAAATAAATCTTTACTTTAATCCTGATTTAAGCTGTATCCATTATCTTTCCAACTTCCAATATTTTCTATTCACAAAAATACTGCTTTTCAATCCAGATTGATTATTGACTTGAAAAAAAGGTAGTATTTTCTCCAATGGATTTCCTTCATAACAGCAATGAAACTAGTAGCTGCAATTAAAGTAAATTATTTTTTTAAATCATTTAATTTGAATTAACATAAACTCTTACAGATCCATGTGTTGATCCTCAAAGTTATAGAAAAGTGGCTACACAAATCTAATTTCCTGATTTGATTTGAAAAATCAGCTTTAGTAATTTTTAAAAGAAATTAATGTCCATTTTATATGGTATGGTTCTTTAGAAAAAAGAAAAGCTGAAAATGTATGAGTTAGAAACTGAGGTATTTATTCATACAAATTTTGGTCATAATTAAGCAAAAATAATGTAACTAAGAGATGATTTTATTTTAAAAATATAATTAAGTCAGAATCTACTTGGTTTGGATACTGTTATGAAGCTGATATTCTTTTAAAGATGAAGCATTTTTTTTTTTTTTTTATATACAAAATTTGGTGATTAATTTTTTAAGGTTATAACAATGCATTTTATGAACTAATTCATATATAACAAAAGGGCTAAAAATATAATGGGAGCAAGAAAATGGCATTAGTCTTAAGCAAATACAAAATCATTCATTTTAAATTTTTATGTACTCTTATACTTAAATTTTTTATGAAACCTTCAATAAACAATATTCTTTTGTTTCAATGTGTTTTTTTTTAAATATTTTTTAGGGATGTGATATTTATGTCACAGTATAAAAAACAACTGATATTATTTACAATAATTAACAAATTGTATTATTAACACATTTTCTTGGAACATGTAAGTCCTATTAAAGATGAAGTTACACATTTCAACTTCTGTCAGACCAAATAGTGGTGCTAGTGTCTATATGATTCAGTCCGTCGTTCACTTTCTGAGTGACTGTTCAGTTGAACTCTCTTCCTACGGACGGGAGGAACCCGAAGGAGGCTACGCCGAAGGGCGGAGTCTCCTTTGGGAAGGTAAACCGGCCCTGAACCCGTTTATACGGGTTCAATAGGCATATTTTTGGCCGAGCCCATGGGCTCGGAATGCCCATTTAAAAAGGCCTTGTGCCACATGACACCCTCGTGGGGTGGGTGGGGGGGGTGACTGAATATCGTCTATATGATTCAGGGGGGAAAATTTGTAAATATTTTTTGTAAAATAGATACCCATTTTCAAAAAGAAGTTTCATATTCAGATATGAAAAGTTTTTAAAATTTGTAATTCAGTGTAGTTTAAAATGATTTTATTAAAAAAAAAAAAAAAAAAAAAAAAACGATTAAGAAAAAACTCAAAAAAATGATGTATTGTTCACAATTTTTAATCCCTGTGATGAATTTTACCAGTCATAATTCTGTACAACCAAAGGATAAATGTGATGAGTTTATTTTTTCCATACCTTTGACATTTTCCTTAAGTGGTTGATTTTCAAATAGGAAAGCAACATAAAAAATATATTTATCCTCACATTCACAAACACAAATATAAAAAATGGATTTTTAAAAAAAAAAAAAAGAAAAGAAAAAAAAATAGAAGAAAATTAGAGAGAGAGACGGTGGGAGGATAAGAAAAAGGTTAAAACAGATATTTTAATAAAATTATGAGGAGTTGTTACTGGGCTAATTTTTTTTTTTTTTTTTTTACATGTAATGAAAACATTAACAGGTCACTTTTCACATGAGAAGAGTATCAGTAGTGATAAATATTTATGAAACAGATATGATTTGAGAAAGTAGTGAACAGTAATAGTTTTTAATTAAAAAGCAATTTAGCACTAGTAAAGAAGTGGATGAATATTATTCAGTTGAGGTATTTGTGGAATATTTATGGGGAAAGTAAAGAGTCATTTTTTTAGATGACCTTGCAAAGAGCTCTTTTCTTTAACAATATGCTTTTCAACACTGCAAAAAGAAAATGTGTATTAAGATTAAAGTTTAGAACAAAATCTAAAATATTTTAGATTGTGACAATAAAAGTAATTTAAGCTTTCAACAGCTTATATAACTTCCAGATGATAGCAATCCTGTCTGTCATTTGTGAACTGTCACAAAGTTTATAAAATTTTCATTCTTAATATTTGCTTTTATAATTATTCTATATTTAGCAAAAAAAAAAAAGAAAAGAAGCTTTAATAGAGTAAACATGAATATGAGAAAAAAAAAACTTTTACAATAAAGTACCATTAGTAAATTGGCAAAAAATAACTACTTACAAGAGACTTTTTCTTAACTAAGAAAATATATTGCAGAATTCAAATACTGTATTCAATTTGACAAAAATGAAATCTAATAAAAAAAAAAAAAAAAAAAAATCAATTTTTCTATTGCTATTATAATTACAAAAGCAACTATTCCAAGCAGATCTGGAATGAAAAATAATATCAGAAACCACTCAAAATTAGAAAGCTTCTCTCAAAATATTTGAGGGCAGGAAAATAATAATATATATCTCACACGCACACACACACACAAGGAAATCTGACAGGAATGTAAACAGAAATCAACAAAGTGATATGACATTGTTGACTACATCTTGATGGAATGTTATCAGAGAATTATTTTCCAACCAAATAATACTTTTTCAAGATTACAGAAATAAAATACAAATTTAATAATTTTAACCAACAAAAATTGCTAAAAGACTTCATTATGAATAACTCAATTTTATCTTATTTATGATGTCATGTGACAAAAAACAATTCCTACTATCAGTGAGAATGATTTTTATTGTATAATGTTTAAAGTGATCTTTGTGGATTGATTTTCATGTTCTCAAAAAAGTTTGTATATTTTCCTAAATTTTATTTTATTTTCTTTTAAATACTTGATTGCTGTCAAAAGTTATAAAGTTATCAATATAAAGACATAAATTTCTCATTATTGCCACTTCATCAAAAACTGAAATTTAAATGATATGCACACACACACACACACGCACATATTATATATATATATATATATATATATATATATATTATATATTTCTCAATTTGATCACAGGGCTATTTGTTATCCATAAAAGGCATTTTAAAAAAGAATAATAAACCAACCAACAAGCATAAACATTTTACCAATAGATTTTATAATATTGGAACATAGGGAAAATATATCTTACAAAAGGCATAATTGAAACAAAATAAAAAAAGAAAAAAGTTAGGTTCCAATATCAAAAATAAATCTTTAATAAATAGAAAATAAGATTAGGAAAAAAACTGAAAAGCATTTTAAATTGAAAATAATAATAATAATAATAATAATGATGATAATAATAGGAGGAGTTTAAATAAAAAATTTTTTTAAAAAATCCACATCATTGAATTCTTACAACCGTAAATAAAAGGATATTAAATAGAAATTGAGTTTTCCGGAGAAGGAAAAAAAACTAAAAACTTTAAAAAATAATAAAATAAAATAAAATAAATAAAAAAAAAAAAGAAGCTATATTCATAAATTTAAAAAAATAAAAATTAATTTTTTTTCAGTCTGCATTGTAAGACTTAATTTTTGTGGGGAAATTAAATAAATAATTTTTTGTTTTTGTTTTTGTTTTTTTTTTTAAACAAAATGACTATTAAAATGGTGTTATTTGCTTTTGTTAATTGTTTTGGATTCAGGGCAGATGATATGCAAATGATGAAGATGAGAAATAGTTTTTTAACCGCACAAACTGAAACAAAATAAAGGAAGGTTAAAAAATAAGTTAAAATAAATCAAAGGCCACACCAAAAGCATAGGTAAGGCAATCAAACTTAATCTCAACCTGAAGTTGGACCACATCATGATAAAAGATGTAAATTAAAACACACCACAATACACACTATGCAATCTTTCTCTCACACCCCCACTTATCTGTATATACATCTGTCTGCCCAATAATTTAATCAGCTGCAAGAGAAAAGTAAAGAGAGTTTAGGAGTGGGGAAAGAAAGAAAGAAGATATGTTACCACAACAGGTAGGTGAGAAAAACCTTATGAGGTGGATAGACAATGAAAGGATACAGACAATGACTGAGTTTGTCAATATTTGGTTGATATACTGAAAGACATCTAATTATGTGTATGTATTTGAGTTGGTGTGAGATTATATGGACATTCTTTTCAACAGATGAATACAAAAGCAGCAGTTTTGTTAAATCCCAAGTAACTGTGCATGATTCTTCTCTCATTTGAGTAAAAAAAAAAAAAAAAAAAGATTTACCATTTCATTACTAAAAGAAAGAGTTTTGATTTATTAAATACTGATATAGAATTTTTCTCTTTCAAATAGGATGAAATATTCAGTTACAGATGTTTCAGTTGGTGAATACAATTCCATGATAATAGAATATTGATTTAGTTATCAGAGTCTACTGTAAACTAATAAGATACTTTGTATTCATCAGCCAACAAGAATCCCTCTGTAATTTACAATATAATTACTATCATTAATAGTCAAATTTGGGAATATACCTACCAAGCTTGTTTTTTAGATATGTAAAATATTAGTAAATTTAATAGCAATAGTAATAGAATCAATGGACAGACAGTGTGTATGGACTGACAGGCTATCAAATTGATTTTAAAAAGTGGACAATGTGTGAGTGTGTGTGCATAATCACAGCACATCAAGAAGTGTAGTAGTGGTGGTATTTGTTATTTAGGAGGAAGAGAAGGCAATTGGTTAAGAAGGATTTTTGTTCCTCTTGCCTGATGACTGGGCCTTTTCGCGAAGGTTTCTACGTTTAGTAATTTGGTATTGATGTTCCTTCTCCATGTCTTTCTCATCTACATTCAATTTCAAAGACTGAAATAGAAAAGAAGGATTTTATTATTAATAAAGAGAAAATAATCTTTTTCTTTCTAGAACAGGAGAATTTTTTTTTAATTTTCTCATATTGAAAATTTTTGTATATTGTATAATATTAAATTTTTTTGTTAAAGCCATCAAATAAACAAACTAAGTTGTATCCCCTGAATGAAACTCTTCAGCTTTTTTAGGCTGCCTCACTTCTAGTCTCTATGGATGCTACTGTACCTGAAACAACTGTTTCATTGTCCACTGAAATGTATCTTACAGGATGAATTGATTAAAATTTATTATAGTGATATTGACTCATTACAATTTAATCACCTATATCAGCTGAAGAATGCCCTTAACAAACTTTGATCAGTTGCATCTCATATGAGGCCTATGACTGTTGAATAATACACAATTTACAACTATTGATGTATTAGAGAAATTATACATTAAGATACCAAACAAAGTCTTTGTCAGATATTTTTCTACTCATCATATTGATGAGAATCTCCCTTTTGTTGTAGAGTGGAACATATCTGAAATAGCTATTTTGGTAACCATAAATCTATGCCACCTGGGTGTCACTTGAAGGCGACATTTTATATATACTAAGAACTTACAATTTTCTACAGGAAACATTCTTTATGTAAGCCCTGTACCAAATTCAAACCCTGATTTTTTTCTACCTGATTGAACCCTGTTGCAATGTTGTCTTTGTTCAAAATAGCCGAGAATTAGAGGTAGCTAGAGAGCATCAAAGGAACTGAAGACTAGATAGAGGAAAGAAAGAAGAAAAGGTTTATTAAATACTCATACATAGAAGGGAAATACTTGAGTAAATCAAATACTACTATAAAGTGGCTAAGAGCAGTCCATTGTCACAGTAGTAGGGAAGAGCAGGAAGTAGGCTTGGTATTACTCTACAACAAACTCAATGAAATCTATTCAACCAATATAATGTTAAACATTCATTTTGAGGGCCTATTATCTTCAATTTCTCACAAAATTCTTAGTCATTGTTGAATAGTCTTAATCCTCCTTTGCTTTTTCTATGTAAAAACATGAACAAATCAATAGTTATATATTGTTTTGATCAACTATTTGCATTACAGTTTTCCGAGTTCTACCTACTATTTTTACCTAGACATGGATGCATCTTTTAACCTAAGCAAATGAGAACATATATCTCAAGTAAAGGCATAGAACCAAATCAAATTGCAGAGTATCATCCTATCAGAAATGGTCATGTTGAAAGGCACTGGTATCATTTGGAAAGCTACTAAACTAGCTTTAAAATATAACCACCATGACAAGCAACATCAGAAATTAATATTTCTAGATGCTTTGCTTTCCATGAAATCCTTACTGTTGACCTCAATCTATGCTGCATAAATGTTTTTTTATTTTAATTTTAAATAATGATCTTCCTTTGGCACTTCCTTACTAACTTGATTAACAAACCTCAGAACTGTGCTCTTTCATTGATTTGTCAGAAAAAAAAAAAAAAAAAAAAAGAAAGATACCCCCCACTTCATGGATGAAGTGGAATTAATTGATGCTAATACTTCTTATGCAACAATTAAGCATCAAGGTGGACATTAATCAAATGTGTCAATGAGAATCTTGGCATCAAGTCCAGCTTCCCCAAAAATTAATGTCAAAGAGTTTTATAAAGTTCTCAACAGTGATCAAAATTGCAGATCACTGACAATGATTGCTCCAATGCCAAATCTTGACTTGTAAAATATACAAGGGGAGAATGAGATATTATTCCTCCTAAGTGGATCTATTCAGCATTTTTAGGCAGATTCACTTCCGTTTTCTAACATGGCTGTTACTATGCTCTAAAGAACGGTTTTGTTATTCACAGTAATGTTTTTTTTACAAAATGATTTGATGTTTCCCAAAGTAAGCAACAGAAACAAAACTCTAGTTAAAGCTACTTATAAATGATTTTAAAAATACAATTTATCATAGAAGTCCAGAAATGGTGGGAATAATGGAGATTGGCTATAAAGGCACAGCTCCAACCAGATGTTGACATGTAAAACCACTACCAATTCCTTCTAGCAAACCAGCCACTTTGCCACATCCTTTTCCAGTTAGTTTTCAGTATTTTCAAGTTGTAGCTGAAAGCACAAAAGTCATCAGACATTGTATTTGAGTATGATAAAATGTCCAGATGTAGAAATAGAATATCAGTTCATTGTCTATTATTTTCATTCTATGTGCCCAACTTTGTCCCCAGGACCCAAAGAAAAAGAAAAACCAACAAGAGTAACTTGCAGACAATAGTGAAAACCTCACTGTCACATTAAGGCCTTAGTAATTAAGCTTCAAGAGTGAAAGTGGTTACAATAGTAAACAGAAAAAAAATGTAAAAAAAAAAACATTAAAAATTTGAAATATATAGTCTGTTAAGACAGAAGAGCTTGAAAGAGATCCCAATTAACAAACCTTACTAAAAGATATGTGTGTTATCATAAAATATAAGCTAAAATAAAGTAGTGAAAAATATCAGTAAAGTAATTTTCATTTTCAACTGATTTGGAAATAGATTACTTTTACACTTGCAGGAAAAGCTGTGTTGTGTCAGGCATATTTTTTCATATTTAAAGTTATATTATTTTAAAATGTACAGAATATTTTACAAAAAGGTACAATATTGTTATTTTCTTGCTTTTGTTTGGCAAAAAAGTTCATTTTTTACAGTTATTATTACTGCATTTTTAATGATTTAAAACTTTCTCGAACAAGCAAAAAGTTATTATATAAGTTAATTATTTATGATATTTTGATTAATTATTTTGACAATTTTATCAAACATTTTTAAATAGAAGATACATTTGTTTGAAATCTGCAAAATTTTAAAATTTTACTATAAATAAAATAACCCATTTTACTGTAATGTCAAACATTATTTCTATTATATTTTTATATTACAACCCACTACAAAAAAAAAGTCTTTTATTTTTGTTTCAAGAAGAGTTAAAAGGACTAAAGTACAGTGCTTGCTTATTCATATACTCATTCTATACACAATTTATTAATATTTAACTATTTTTAACTTAAAAAGGTAAAAGTTTTCCTTTATTTCCCAACCACAGTATCTGAACATATTCATTTTCAATAAAAGAAAAAAAAATCTGAGAAAATAAAGATATATCTATTTACTCCTGTCATTTATTTTAGAGAAGTTATGATTTCAAGAGTTGTTTACTGATGCTATCACAATTTCAGCCAATCTATTTTAAAGCATTATTCATGTATACAATTTGGCTTGTATTACTACTACTAAGAAAACAAGATCACTCTCCAACTTCACATTTGAACAAAGATGTAAAATGGATGAATTAAAATATTATAACAGCAAAAGCAGTAAAAACAATGAGGTCAATAATCCAAACAATTTCTGGAATCTCTCTACTCCATTTTTTTGTAAGTGTTTTTTATCTAGTTCTATAAGCCATAAATTGATGTTTTATGAGATTTAGAAACTTAAATTTAAAATGTAATATGTAAATACAGTTATTACATTAAAGATTTAAATTAACATACATATTTTTTTTTTCAATTTTAAAAAATTCAGAATTTTTAAATGAAAAATTCTGAGTTTAATTGACAAAGGTTATTACTGTTTATTGATCCCTTAATCCCCCTTTAAAAAAAAGGGAAAGTTTAATGGTGTCAGGAAATTCAGTACTATGTCTTGATGGGTGAATATTTGACCAATATCTATACCTATGTCTAGTAATCTGTTGTAGCATACCTATGGACGATAATGGTTATGTCCCCATTCCCATAGTAAGTACAGTATGTTGGTCTGCAGTTGGAGATTCATTGTGGAATTCACTTGATTCACTTCTAGCAGTTGACTACTACTTCTATGTGCCACTAGCAAATCTTATATGTGTTGTTCATGTCCTAAGTATTATCGTTCATTACCAACCTTCATGTGATTATTCTATTCAGTAACGTTCCCTAGGTAACATTTTGGCAACAAGGATTAGCCAAAATTGTAACAATCATTCACAGAAATTCTTTGCTCATCTTAAATATCAGGGTTTGAATTTCTAGAGTTGTTCAGGGCTAGTGAATTCATTCTATGGATCTTTTCATTATAGCCTTCTTCAGGTACACTATCTGTACAGAAAGAAAAGGGTCTCTTTCTATATGAAAAATCTGTAGAAATAGACTGGTTGATATCTTGTAAACAGAACCCCCCCCAAAAAAAACAAGACAAAAAAACAAAAAAAAAAAACAATAATGAGTTCAAAATTAAAGTATCAGGGTTTGAACTGTACAAAGTATATGTAGAACAGTTGTTGGCATTAACTTCTACTACAGCTTTTCTGTTAGAAATAATTTTTATCTTACTTCATATTTTCCATTTTAAGCTTATGTGCTTCAAAAAGACTGCACAGTTCTGAAACAATAGCAAAATCCTATAACAATTTCTTCACACCCTATCACAGACTGATTTGCAATGAAGTAGATAATCATTTCTGTTGCTATATTGCATCAAGTATAGCAGATTACAATTCAATTGAATCTACTAATTTTTTTTTCTTGTAATCAATTAAGTAAGGCTATTAAATATTTTGTAAAAATACATTCACCAGTGATACTGGTCTCACATTTTGATAGAATTTAGATGACCCACTAAAATGGAAAAACATTTGGAATTAGATATAGGATGGTTTCACAAACAGTTAACAGATCCTTCTACTAAACATCAGTTTTCTGATGGCTTTTCTATTCAAAGCTTCTGTTGCATTTAAAAATAAGAGGAGAAAATTCCACACATGTGCACAGCATATTTACATATATAACATATCAGGAGACTACAGAAACTATGCACTTACCTCTTTGGAAATAAAATCACCATCTATCAATTCATGCGGAATGTGTCGTAATTTCTCCATTGTTTCATAAAGAGTTGGACACTCTGCAAGTTTCTCTGGTGTTCCTAGTGTTAATTTGAACAGCACAAGAGCTATTCGAAACATCACTTTCACACCTGAAAATGAAAAGCAAAGAACTACATCTATATATGCATATTCATTGAAATCAATAATTGAGGTCAAGTTGGAATAAGTTTTTGATGTCTACATCAAAAACTTCAGGCACTAAAGATTATGTAAATAAAAAAGGAAGGGTGCAGTGAAGACAGACATATTTTATAATGATAAGCCTATACAAGTGGTAGGATATATATTTCTAAGCACATATTAGTTTTACAAGAGAAAACTGAATTCAGGATTATTTGACTCATTAATATGAATTGAATCAAAAGAATAAAAACTAAACCAGACCTTAAAGCAGTGGTTTGCAACTTATTTTGCCTGATGCACCCTTTTCACCATAAATCATTCCTCACCTTTCCAAGATTGTCTGATTCAAAAGATGCATTCCAAATAATATGCATATATTATTGAAAATCTTCATTCTTTTCCCTATTATACATTTACATGGAATATTTTTGTAGTGATAAAAAACACAAGAGCTAATGGAAAGAAAACCCAGCATGATTTCTCAGTTGGGTAGACTGAAGCACAGTGCAGGTTGTGCCACTTGTGAAAGTTAACATTTTGTCTACCAGTCTATGGCTCCAATTCCCCATTGGAAAGGCTGAAGTCTTTATTATATTTAACCCCCCCTCCATGCAAATACCAAAAACATTCCTCCTGGAAGTGAGGCAGTAAATGGACAATTTTTGTTTGTAAAACAATCTAAAACAACACTCACTTTAAGAAAGACATATTTTATACAATACAAACAAAACAGTTCATAAAGTTGTGATCATATAAAACTACACATGTTTAATTTTCCTTTTTAAAGCACTTAAAATGGCTTAGATTTTGAGCCTAGTTTAACAGCATAAGAGTTAAAAAAAAAAAAAAAAAAAAAGAGCTAGTCATTTGTTGGCTGAAGGCTGATAATCTCTTATCCATATTCTTTGTTTTCGCACATTTTCAATGACTGAGCATAAATTGTTAATTAGAGGCTCACAGTCAATATAACTGCTTGTCTACTAATGTATCTAAAAAGGAAAAGTTAGATGCATCAATTGTAAAAAATTCAAAAATAAAAAGTTATGGTTTGGTTCATTTTGTTTTACAGCATATCAACATCTCAATGGGTTATTTAATGGAGACAAGATTTTAAAAAGATATGTTTATATGAATAGAATATGCATTCTTTGTAAGAAATCATTTTGTAGATCAGGTTTCACTGACATATTTTTGTAAAAAGGGGTTTTGTTGAGAACCAAATGTATTGCTGGTAATTTTTTTTTATCCCCCAGAATGCATTGCTGGTAATTTTTTTTTCCAAAATGTATTGCTGGTATTTTTACTATAAAAATCTATCTTTATACTTTCATTGTATTTTCACTCTAGTTTGCGGGTTAACTATTTGCCTATAGCTGGGACCCTGACACGTGCTAGCACCCCAGCTCAAAGTGGATCTAGGAAGAATAACAATTAAGAGGTGGTTCCACACTTTTCAAAACTTCCTGATCAGAGGCTTTGCTGTTGGACATAGTTTGTCATACCCAAGATGATAAAAAGTTATAGCGAGAGAGACAAAGATAGCAAAATAGAATAACTAATGTTTAAAATACATGAATAAAAAAAATTAAAAAAAAAAACACACACACACAAAACTTTTTAAATAACAAATTCAAATGTAACATGAAGTGTAAATAAATTACAACTATTTGCATGATAATTCTTTTCATAGCACTTGTCAGATTAAACAAATTCTTACATATAAATACCAAATAAAGAATAAATATTATTATATGCCTTTCTAGTCAGACTAGTATGATCATATTGGTTATTATACTAACAATGTTTTGGATATTGCACATTCTTCAAGTGTCTGTAATAGTCAAGAACCTTATCAATATTTTAAGCTAAACTCTTTAATCAATCCACAAGAGTAGATTGTTCTCATTCCATTTTCTGCATTTAGGGAATAACTTGTACCAGTTATTTCTCCACTAAGCTATGTGGATCTTAGATAATCCAGTGGTCTTAAACCTAACATCTGTACTTCTGTGATGGAATATTGGAGTGTCGTACCTTTTCTTAAATCAGAAGCTACCAGGTGTTCATTTGTATTCTAGGTCTACTGATAAGGTAGTCAGTGTCTGACATGTGCTGATTCTTTCAATCATCTTATCCTCCAGTGTTGATATCTGTGTATTATCTTGACTTGACAGTGATTGATGACCACCCTTTTTTACCTTCATACCTGAACAACCATACCTAATTTCAATACATCCAAGTGGGTGGCTGGTCTCACCATTGTATTCCTTTGATTAGGATATGACACTCAAATATTCCACCAGCTAAGTAAGACATTATATTTAATACATCAAAATTAAATCACTGGATTATCAAAGAAAAACATAGTATAGCCTAGATTAAAGCACTTGTTGAGGAATATCTGGTCCAGTTGAGAAAAACAGATACACACTGAGACAATGAGGATAATTAATACAAAATATCCCTTAATAAGATAATTAATACAAGATATCCCTTAAGTAGGGAAAGTAGAGTGAAAACAAAATAAATTTAAATAAAAAAATTTAGCTAAAAATTTCAGGATGGTTACTGATTACGATAGGCATCTGAAGAATGTATAACCTGAAGATACTCAAAGTACAACTGAAATATGAGTATAGCAACTAAAATGACTATACTAGTCCAAATGGAAAGGCATATAGTAGTAAGAATTCCTCATACAAAAAATTCTAAGAAAATGGAAAAAAACAATGGTAATTTTAAAAGTATTTAAGTTTGCATAAAAATATCAGGTACCGTGGATATTTTAGAATTGTCATTGTGTAAACAAATGTATTGTCACAATTAAGCAAATGCTCTATATTTTTTAAAGCATAATGAGAAAAATATACATTGACATTATTTGCAATATAAACAAAACTAGTGCTCCTTTTCATACTGATGAAATCTTTACATTTAAAATTTTTCAAAGAAATTGAAATTAATGCAAATGAACACATGAAAATTAAAATTGCTGCTGAAAAGATTTGAAAAGTTACTTCTGATCAAACCTGAAATTAAAAAGAAAAAAAAAAACTTACATGTTATACTTACCTGTTTTTTGGTGGCTTGGGCTGATACTTTGTCTAAAAGCCTTCTGAGATGATAAGCTTTCTGCTAATGTGTAATATTAGCCTGTAGATATAGACCGATTTTTTTTAGCCAGTTTCTTTTTTGTTATATTTTCCAAATTTGCTCAAGTATCTGTTGCATTCAGCAACATTATGTTAATATTTGATCTACAAAAATTTATTATTTTTATTCTTGTCATATCTTCCATGGAAATTTTAGAGACTCATCAACCAATCTACCTCTCCACAGCTGGTGTATTTTTTCACTATCCAACTCAGAGATTGAACTTTGAGTGAATCAAATAAGGTGACCTAAATGAATTAATGTTTAGTATTTAATAGATTAATAATATCAGATCTCAGAAATTCAAATAAAAATGTAATCAATACAGCTAGTTTCAATGATAATCATAAACAGAAAAATAGTAATAATTATTATAATAATAAACCTGTTATTTTCAGGAAGAGAGGTATAAACAATAATTACTTTTATAGAGTGCACCAGCTTAGATCATTTTAACTAGGAATTGTAACTCAAGTAGTTTACTTAGTAAAATAGTAACACTAATAGTATAACTATACTATCAAATACCAATTCATACATTCACAATGTTCATGACTGGTTGGAAGATGTGATCAGGTTAGGCAAGATACTGGTTTGTTAATGTTGTTCTTACACAATCTAAAAGAAGCAGGATTGACTGATCCAATATAGATTATGCATGCACTCATAAAATCTGATTTTACAAAAGAAAAATAAAGCTAACTTTCCAATGATATAAAGATTTAGGAAGTAAATAATTATATTACTTGCTCTAAGAATTTGATTTACTATTATATATTTTTGTACTTATTCATAATACCAACAAAAAAAATATTAAGTTCATACAAAGTTACGCAAATATATATAAAACTGAAAATGATGTAATAAAATAATTTAACAGATTCATTTGGGAAGGAGTTGAATGTGTATAGACTTAGTATTCAAAAGGAGGAAATCAGTAAAACTGACTTTATGGAAATGTGGTAGTATTAAATAACTAAAACTTTTAGTTGATGAAGGGTGGTAAAGATTATTGAGTGCTGTATATTGTTCTGTATGCTTTCTATAAGAAAATGAAAATACTATACTGTATGCTTTTTTGGCAGATATATGATGATTTCATTGTTGCCTTTTTTTCAAAGATATCAGCTCAATATAAATCCATGAAATATGGTAAATGATGATAATTGCTTGAATTATAAGAGATTCATATTCCATCATGCTAGGAGTCCATATTATGTTTAAAAAGGCAAACTAATTTTAAATTACCTTCACAGAAAAACATATCCCATACTCGCAGAACTGCTGTCCAAGGCAATGTTCGACTAAAGATACACATAAACCATTCAGTCATATAAAGGATTGGTTCGATCTTTTGCTTTTTCTGGAGAAAAATAAAAAAAATAAAGAAATAATATTTTTATTTAAAATAAACTTTGCTAAGTTAGTCGGTTGGTAATAAAGTTTCTAAATATTTTGTGCAGTTAAATTTTTACTATTTTTTCAAAAAGAAACAAAAAAATATTCAACAAACAAAATTGCTACTTAACGCTTGCTGCCAATATCTCCACAAATTACAAATTGCTTTGGGATAGAATGATACTAGTTTTGGACCAAAGATCATCTACAAGTGTTATTCTGACAATCATTTAGAAAAAGTCTAATCAACCGGAAAATGTTGAAGAAAACAGAACACATTAGAAAATACCAAATTGGGTGTGAAATGTCCAAACAAAATGCAATAATTTTCCATGAACTATTTAGCATTGTTGTGCAACAGGCAGATTTGATTAAACTGTGGCATATTCTGACAATTACATCAAGCAAAACATTGAGTAATGTGCTTTAACAATTACGGCCTTCTTTAGATCAAGCAGTTCTCAGTAAATACATTACATGTTCCAACATAAACATTTTCTGACAACTTTAACTTAATGCCTGATTAGAATAAATGTTTAATATATTTTCAGTATATAATCTGACTTCATTTGATTCCAATTCATATTTATGATTCTGAAGTAACCAATGTCTATGTTTTGACTTCAAATCATATAAATTAACCAGCCTTAACACAGATTGTAAATTTCCATTTATAATTCTTGAGCACAATGCATATTTATTATCACTGTTGAGAAAAAGTGATCATAAGTATATATTTCTAGATATGACCAGAATTTGCACAAATTAAAAGTAATTTAGGAAATTTTTCATATAGAAAAAGAACTAGCAGAAATCTGGAGCACTGACCTCTGTATATTTCTGAATTTTTTCAGAAACAATGTCAACATCCATGGTCAATGGAATAGCAAAAAGCATAAATTGCTTCTTGTGGTGATTAAGCATTTACTGTGTAGTAAACTAATCACTGATTGGCAGATAGGAAACCAATCAACAGGAGGAGACCTTTTTAACCAGGAACATGGTGAGGAAAAATATTGGAATAAAATACATGAAATGCATTAAGATGTGGGACAGATTTGATCAGTAGTAAATTGTAGGAAAAATTGAAAGAAAAACTTTCAAACCAAGTTCAGTTTCTCCTCAAATACAGCAGTAGCTTAGAACTTAGATGGTTGTGATTTGTCACTGGCTAAAACAGGAAAAAAGGAAGGGAAAAAAATGATCTAAAAAAGAATGACCATTTGGAGACACTAAATTTGGAGCATTTACCCTTACACACACACAGTGAGTGTGTGCATTTCTAGCATTTCTCACTCAGACAAGTTTTAGCTTGTAAATAACTTTTAAAAAAAAAGTGTGTGGAAGGGGGTATCCTTACTTTTTTTTTTTTATTTTTTACAAAGAATACCAAGTAGTCTTGTTATTTACTAACTACAGTTTATGTCGGCAAAGAGCATCTAGTGAGGATTAAATCCAGCTTGCTGACTATGACACCATGATCATGTGGCCACTGTTTTCTTTATCATCTATATAATACTAAAAGTCTGTGATTGCATGCAGGCTTGTGTGGTGCATCTGTCTGGTGCATAATAATTTATGAGTTGTTTATACAAGAAGTATTTTTATTTTAACTTTCTTCAAACAGACAATTTTTTAATTAAAATATTTTTAAGTTAAAGACAGACACAAAGAGATCCTGCTTTGCTGTTTCGTCCAGTTGTTTGTAGAGTATTTATGTTTCAGCTTTCTTTAAACAAACAATATTTTAAATATTTAAAAAATATTTTTTGGCATATTTAAAAATATTTTCAAGTGAATATGATTTTAAAATATTTTTTGGCATATTAAAAAATATTTTTTAAGTTAATCTGATTTAAAATTCAAGTTTATCCCGGAAGCTCTATTCCTATTAAATGCTGTAAACAATCAGTAAAACATTAAACATGAACTTGTAAACCAAACCAATGATGACACAAATGAAATATTTATTTACAAATATTTAACTGAATCATAATAAAATTAACTTTCATTTCAATGGAATGTTGAAATCAATTTCAATGTTTTATAACTTGAACCGTCAGTGACCCAATGAGTGACGAGTAGTCCAGTAGTATATAAAAACTGCATACATTCCTCAATTTATTAAGTCAGGTGAACTTATCTTTTTAACGTACCAAATGTTTTGTTTTCTATTTAGGTTTTGTTCACATCTAGTTACATACCAACACACACATGGAACTATTTCATCAGTATAGCATCCTCTGTTTCGTTAATTTTATGCCTTGACCATATTGGTATTTTCCACATAAAACATTCAAGTAATTTCAGCATTCCAGGACATTCTGCATTACTATCCAGTTTTGCTGAATATATTCAGAAAAAATTAACAACTGTTACCAGAATCCTTGAGCGCTTTCTTTCCTTCTCACTTGGTATGCTCAACTCTAGCTACATTTTCTGTTCAAGAACCTTTTTTTTTTTTCTTTCATTGCCATGGATAATATCATATTTTTCTCTCTTGACTGTTTTCATGACTACAGCCATAACTTTTTTTCATTTAAAAACTTTTACTATACAGTACTTCTTGATGCAGACGAAAATGAATATCATAAATGGATATAGACGAAGACTGTTCAGTTTTTCTTTAAGTAGGACAATTAAACTTTCTATCATTGTTCTTTTCAAAGTTAGTAAATCTAATAAGTTTTCACTGATATTGCTGTTACTGCATTTTAACTTATTTTAACTTTGTTTCTTCAAAAAAGACAATTTTAAGTTGCCCAGTACTTTTTTCTCAGATATTTCCAATGAATACTTTATACTGTTCTTTGTTTCATATTTCCCCAATGCTATACATTTTTTGTCCAGCAATAGTATACAGGCATATCAAGCACTGTACTTTATCTTTTTATTTGATTACAAATGTCTCCATTTCTTTGATATTGGTGATAGATTTTATTTTTATTTCAACCTTATAGATATTACTTTTTAAAATCATAAAATGCAAAAAAAAGGGAGCAAAGCAAGATTAATATTAGCTAATGTTGCTGCTCCAATAAAACTTTGATTGTGTAATGTTGCGTTTTCAGTACTCCCCATTTTTTCTTTGAGAGGTGATTTGGAGGGTGAAGGATTTTTGTAGATACTCCACCTCCAGAATAACTGCAGGAGAGGGTGTAATTTATGTGTTGACTGCCTGTTGCACTTACTGGGCAGATTAATATTACAGCTGTGTAATATAAAGTAAATAATGTCAAAGTTTTAGAAAAATATTGGTTATGAAAATGCTTCCGTTAAATGGCTATAGATAAGTAATTGGCTGTATATTTGAAACAGCCAATTTAGTGAATATAAACTTGAGACATTTCTTTTTCCCTTT